ACATGAATAGCTTCATTGTTTTCATGTTTCATGGGAGGATTTTATTGTAGGAACTCTAACTCTATACCTGGTGATGTAATGCTTTTTCTGTAAAATGTCCCCTTAGAACATGATGGAATGTCTTTAAACAATATGGTTTCTCTGAACTATTCCATCAGACCAAAATAGAAACTATCTCCTAATACAAACAAATCATTGCATTTTCCATCTGAAAAACAAAGGTGTTCACGATAATCGTAATTTGAGTAATATCAACCATTTAGGCAGGGCATACTATGTGCAAGGCACATTAATTGATCAATAATTAAGTAATTACTTACAGAGTTTTTAATATATGCCAGTCCCTGGAAGTATATAGTGAATAAGAAATACAAATTATTTTGTTTCTCTCTAAAGTCCCTCCATAATCTGGTCCACCTATGTATTCAATTGCCAAATATGTCTTGAGCACCTACTATGTGCCAGGTATAGTACAATAAATCTTCCCTTTCCTACAATATTTTCTTCCACTTTGCAAAGTGAACCTTCAAAAGCTTGCCTTCTCATGTTCTTTTAAGTATCCATGACATATTCATTCCCGCAGCTGTTCATGCTCTCCTTCCTGGCAATTCTGTCTGTACTAGCTCTTTGCCGCTCCTGGGTGGTGTCCCAGTTTCACACGGTCTGGTCTCTTTTCTTTAGCCACCTTCATCCTGAGTTCACTTTAGCCCTTAACACATCCTCCTGCATGCCACCTTGTCACTCTTCCTCTGAACTTGACTTCACATCAGAATTACCTGGAAACACTTTTTTAAGTAACAGTTGAATATTCTAGGAAATGACCCAAAAATCATTGATTTAGACCCAAAGTTGAAAACAAATCCCTTTATTCAAACAATAAAACTAAATTTAGGAGGGATGCTAGAATCATTTGCTTTACATTAAAATGTTGAGTATAACAGGAGGGGATCATTCAACAAAGTGGCAATTTTCATCTTGAATAATTGTTGCCCACCAGTTTAGACAAAACCCTGAGAATATTAGCTAAAACTATGTCAAATGTCTGCTAGAGTCTTCATTCCTTATTTATACTACAAGATAATGAACTATGTGATACTTGAGTACCAACTCACCCATTTCATTCATAGTTCCATGATTTGGGGATGGCAAAAATGTTAAAATGAAGTTAAAGACATACAATAAATAAGGAATTTTAGCTGTAATTTGCTGCCTTTCCTCCAGTGTGGCAGGTTTTTCATGAAAATAATCAGAGCTTGGGGTATTTATGAACTTTAACTCTTAATTTTTATAACTGTCATATATGTTAATAAACATAACATATATGTTTATATATATATATAAACATATAACATAAGTTATATGTCATATAACTGTCATATAACTGTCATAAGGATTTCTGGATGAATAAATGTCTTTTCTGTTAAAAATGTTTTTCTTTGTCTCCTCTTCAATTTCTTTCATAAGTCTTATATAGTTTTATCAAACTCAACACACCAAAAGACAAATATCCCAGTTTAGAAATAGGCAGACATTTTTCCAAAAAAACCATCCAGATGGATAACAGACACATGAAAATATGCTCAACATCACTCATCATCAGGGAAATACAAATCAAAATCATGATGAGATATTTTCTCACACCTGTCAAAATGGCTAAAATTAACAACACAGGCAACAACAGGTGCTGGTGAAGTTGTGGACAAAGGGGAACCCTCTTGCATTGTTGGTGGGAATGTAAACTGGTACAGCCACTCTGAAGAATAGTATGGACGTTCTTTCTCAAAATGTAGAACAAAATGTACAGAACTACCCTGTATTCCCGCAACTGCACTACGAGGTATTTACCCAAAGGATACAAAAATACAGATTTGAAGGAATTCATGCTCTCTGATGTTTTAGCAGCATAATCAACAATAGCCAAACTACCGAGAAAGCCCAAATGTCCATCAACTGGTGAATGGATAAAGAAGATGTGGCATACATATACAATGGAATATTACTCAGCCATCAAAAAGAATGAAATCTTGCCATTTTCGATGACACAGATGGAGCTAGGGTATGTTATACTAAGTATGATGATGATGATGATGATGATAATAATAATAAAAGTTAGGAGAGAAAAAATAAAAAATAAAGCTATTATTTTATAGGCAAAAAATGTTTTAGAACAATTGGAAGGTTCAGGTTATTTTTTAAGTAATCATTATTATTTTTTTAAGATTTATTTATTTATTTATGACAGAGAGAGAGAGAGAGAGAGAGAGAGAGAGAGGGGCAGAGGAAGAAGCAGACTCTGTGCAGGGAGCCTGACATGGGACTTGATCCCGGGTCTCCAGGATCACACCCCAGGCTGAAGGCGGCGCTAAACCGCTGGGCCACTGGGGCTGCCCAATCATTTTTTTTTTTTAAGTATTTTTTGAGGCACCTGGGTGGCTCAGTCAGCTAAACATCTGACTTCTGCTCAGGTCATGATCCCAGGGTCCAGGAATCAAACCCCACATCAGGTTGCCTGCTTAGTGGGGAGCCTGCTTCTCCCTCTCCCTCTGTTTGCTGCTCCTCCTGCTTGTGCTTATGTTCTCTCTCTCTCTCTCTTTCTCTCTCTCTCTCTCTCTTTCTCCCTCTCTCTCTCAAATAAATAAACAAAATATTTTTTAAAAAATAAGTATTTTTCTTTGAACAGAGGAAATTCTAAATTACCAAGTCCAGCTATATTTTTATTTTTGTAAAAGATTTTATTTATTTATGAGAGAAAGAGAGAGAGAGAGAGCACAAGATGGGGGAGCAGCAGAGGGAGAGGGAGAAGCAGGCTCCCTGCCAAGCAAGGTGTCAGCAGGGAGCCTGACTCAGGGCTCCATCCCAGGACCTGGGGATCACAACCTCAGCCCAAGGCAGATGCTTAACCAATTGAGCCCCCCAGCCTCCCCAGCTATATTCTTATAAACCATCCTGTAATGGACTGATTGAGGAGAAGGAAGAGGAAAGGTCAGGCAGGTTGGCAGTTTTAAAGGTTGACATTACTACCAGAACGTGGTGTAGGAAATCCCGATGCTAATCAAAATCCTTTGTTCTAACTGAATCTGCCTCATGATCCTATCGTGAAGCTTTAAAGACCTTATGAGAATGTACTCGAATTTAAAAGTTACTCAAAACGGTTTATTCTCTTATTTTCTGTTCACCATCTCTCCACTTGACCTGCAACTTTTCCCCTCAACATTGCCCACTTATGGAATTGTTACCGAGAAAATTTTATACATCTGAGAGATCCATTGTATTTAGAATATGGTTAGGCATTCAGAAATATTCTAAAATAATACATTAGTACAACAAATTTTGATTTTAAAAATTTTAACTGATTTACTCCACAGTAACATGAAATAAAATCTATTTGTACTTCTTTACCCATCCAACTGCAAGAAGAGGTGTAACTGAAGTGTTCTAATATATAATTTTTGTGCCATCATTCCTTCACACTCCAGGGGCAGATCATGAATCCCCAGGAAGCTTCCCTGAAAGTTGATACTCACTCTACTATCTCCAAAACAAAAACAATGGGAAATTAGATATAAACTGACATTCCCACTTGGCTATCTATCTTACGGTGTCTTCAATGCATTGATTCTTTTAGCAACAGAAAAATCACAAAACATTTATCTTATGAGCTCTAACACATGGTCAATTTATTCCTGATGTGGAAATATGAGATCTGACATTACAACCTGAAATTTCTCCTATTAAGAAAGAATATATGAAAATCATACTGTTTGTGTGCATATAAGGATGTCTAAATGTTCTATTCAAAGCTCTTACTGAAATGAAAGGATTATCTTAGAAAAAAATGGCTTCTGAATCTGTACAGCTTTCCCCTCTCAGTTAGGTTTTAAATTCTAAACTCCAAAAGTCCGGTCACTCTCAAATACCCACATCACTGTCTTTGTCACACTGCCTGACATTTCTGGTACCAGCATCATACCATAGGGACCTTTAGAAAACTTGATCATTTTGACTTGTTTTAGGCATTGCTAAGTTCTTGGGTGCTGTTGTCTATTAAAATAGTAAGGAACTTGCTAGAATTATTTTGTCTGATTAACCCAGTATCACTAAGTCTCATAAGACAAAGTATGATTCTGCAGGAATAAAGTCCAAAAGTCAAGCAATTACATCCAGGGTGGGAGAACAGGCAAAGGAGAAGTTAAGTTGTCTGTGAAAGGCCCCTTTGTTATGGGTGGCACATGGCAGGGCAGAAACAGTCCCACAAAGTTGAGATAGAAAATAGACTCTTCAGATTTTGCCCAGGCATGAATATCTCTGCTCACCTGACAAACAGTAGTTGGGCACCAATTATATGCTGTGAGCTTCTACTCTCTTTGCATTTTATTTAAAATACTTCAGCTTGCATGAAGGCAAACACTGACCTAGAAAACAGGCATTCATAAATTCTGCCTTCGTGTTGGAAAAACCATCATGTAGATAGTCATTGCTACTCAAGAGTTTTGAAGATTTTTTGAAAAAAAATTAAGCAATATTCTGCATGCAGTAAATTGATAAGATGGCATCTCATTATATGAAATTAGTTTCTACCTAAAGAGACCTCCTGGTCCTTGTGCCTGTTATCTTTACGGCTGCCCCTCCTGCTACCACCCCCTGAATGCGACCCTAGAGACATCCCAGGCCCACTATCCTGGAGCCTATCCTTGGTCTCTCACAAACCACATCTAAGCCCATGTCAAGTTCAAATTTTCCTTTCCTCGTTTTTTTCTCCCATTCATCACTCAACTAATATTTATGCAGTGCTTACAGGGGGCCTGTCACTGTTCCAGAACCCTGGGATATGGCAGTGAGCAAAACAGACCAAAGTCTTTACTCACCCTCTAATTGGGGGGAGAAGACAAACAAATAAGTTCTGTGTGGTAGTTGGTGGTGATGAAGAGGGTAGGTTGCACAGGCTTTGGGGGCAGAGGGGATTCAGATTAGGGGAATGAGGCATGACATGAGGTTCTCACTTCTCGTGGTGAGTGATGGAAACAGGGATAGGGAGCATAATGAGGTGATCATGCTTTTGAAGCAAAGACTGCTGGAAGGCTGGAAGGAAGAGAAATGTAATCCAAGCAGTTTGGTACTACAAATAGGAGCCTCTTCTCTCCTCTTGCAAGCAATGCCACCGACACAAAGGAGGGGACAGGCAAGTGGCCTTCTTATCTGGAGTCAGGGAGCTAGAGGGCTCCCTCCTGCCTCCTTTGTTCATTGACAGACTCTTTCTTAAATTCCTCTGTGGATTCTTATCCAGATCATTGTCATCTAGATATATTTAAATAGAAAATTTCTTCTATAAGATCCCCAAAGAAATTACTAAAAATACACCTGCGACATTTTCACACAAAGAAAGCACAAATGCTAAAATCCTGATGGCTTGCGTCCTCCCAAGGAAATTAAATAATACCCAAGACTAACTTTGCTTTTTTTTTTTTTCATTTCCAAGTGGGAAAGAAGAAAAAGGACCAATTATTTCTGTTCCTGGCATACTCTGATTAAACTGTGTGTTTCTAACTAGAAGCTACCTAGTCGAATAGAGAAAAAAAAATGTATTTCGTCTTCAAAACATAACCGACACCACAAAATTATAACCAAGTCCCAGTGAACAGTGGCAGTAAAGGAGCTGACTGGGTTCGTCAACAAAGGAAAAGTGTCCTTAATAATGTGCTTACTGGCCGCCACACGCTTCAGCTAGGGACTTTTCTACATGAATGACTCTGTGGACCCTAGGGAGGCAGCATTTGGAGGGAGCTCGGCCTTGGACATTGACTAACTGATTTTCTGGCTATAAGTAAGAACAAGCTTCTATCCTGAGGAGAGTAATGACTGTGGCTGAACACAGAGGACAAACCAAGTGGAGTGGACATGAATGCTTTTTCCAAGTAGGCACACAGCAGGCTGTCTATATTGAGTGTTGTCATGTATCTCTGTACTGGTTGGAAGTTGCATGGTGAGGAGCGGGGGGGGGGGGGGGCGGGGCAACATGGAACCCTCCTTTTTCTACTCACCAAGCCACTTGCTCTAGTGAGGGGTCACATCCTTCATCCACTGGGGAAGACACTTTTGTCTTGACGTTGTATAGGCTCATATGTGTGTGAATGTGAGTGTGTGTGTTGGTGGGGGGTCCACTTTGTACTCTCTGCCATATGTTCAAACTCTTCCTTTCTATTGGATATTTCTACTCAGCCAGGAAGCAGTCTGTAAAGTATACACATACTGAAAACTTAACCCTTTTTAAAATTAATTCCTCAAGCCACTGTTTCTGTCTTTAATTCTTCTTCATTTACTGTCTCCAATGCATACTCATTCTCGACAGCCCACAGTCTGCATCCAGACATTGTGCTCACATACCCCGCTCTTCCTCTGGTTCCAAATCCACCACCATGTCAACTGTCTTCTCTTTCTGCAACATCACATGGCTGATCAGCATCCTTTCCCCTAAATCTCTCCTTTGGCACTCTTCATCCTGTTTGTGTTTTCCTAGAATTGCTTCTTCCCTGACCTCACCTCCACTCTTCCTTTCTGGGTTCAGCCCTGGAGTTCTTTTTTTGACCCTCTATTTTCCAGGAAAACATACTTGCTATCACCCCTTCCATGCCCATCTCTAAGCAGAGGACTTCCAAATAGCTGTGCAGAGTTCTGACTTTTCTCTTGAGCTCCAATCCCAAATATTTCATTGCATGCCAGACCAACTGGCAAAATCAAATAGATTCAGCTTGCAGATGAGACTCGCAAAGGCACTTTTCTCCAACTGGACTAAGAGCCAGAGCAGCTACCACCTCACTCCCTTTTGGAGGACTCTGCAGAAAAGAAAATGAAAGAGGGAGATGAGAAAGGAGAGGCCAGGGAAGGAAAGCGAGAGACAGAGTAGTCCAAGTGGTCTTCAGCGTCTGCTTGGCCCTCAAAGGGTGGATTCCTAGTAGCAGCTCAAGTAAACCTAAAAGGTCATCACTCTGCCTTCTCCATCCCATCTTTAAATTAATCTCTCTTGATATCTTGTTTACACCTCCATCCATTCACTTTTGATTTGTCTGAGTTCAAAACATTGACACTAGTTCCTTTCCATTTTTACCTCTCCAGTATTTTTTCTGTTTTGTATCTTTTCTCCATCCTCACAGCCTTCCCCTTTGTTCTGGTTCCCGTTGCATCCCACCCAGGCTGTGACAGTGGTGTTACCTGAACAGTCCCCCACCTCAAAACTCTGCTCCCATATCGCATTCTTGGAGGCCAAACCTTACTCCAAATAGTCCCTGATTATATGGGTATATTTTAATGAAAGACACAAATTCTGAAAAGTCTCAGGACAAATAATTAAGGCCACAATGGTTGAAAATAATATAATGAAGATCAAACATTCTGACTGGTAGGCAATTTTGTTAAGTAAGGTCAAGCTCTGTTTCTGTGAGCTAGCACCAACAGGAAAGTATTAAACATATTCTTCTTTTATTCTATTTATTCAATAGTATACTTCTCTTGGCTGTAAGAAAGGACCACTTGTTAATATTATATATAATTTATGTTTAAAAATATAGTTGTGAATATTTGTTTGTGATCTTGGAGAGAAATATTGGAAAAAAGCCCATCAGCGGGAAAGGATTTTATATACTGGAGGAGTGAAAAGTGTACCAACTAAAGAAAGTCTTCAGTAAGTCAAGAGAACATGCTATTCTGTAAAGTTAGGCAAGACTTGATGTGAGAAAAGAAATACAGGAAGGAGTATGTGTACATGTGTGCATGTGTGTCAATGTGGGTGTGTCCCAAGCTAAACAGAAAAACTCTGTTTCCCCAAAATGACCAACTTTGGGTGGGAGGAGACCAAACTTAGAACACTAAACAGGAATTCTGGAACCTAAGAAGTCATTGTTAAGACTAGTCTTCCTAACTGACAATATTGGACACTATAAATATATGCTTCACTATTTACCGTGGTCCAGGTATAATGGCTGATGCTGAAGTATTGAAGAGTGACCTGAAAGGAAAAGGATCATAGGGATCAGTCCTGCAGACTCCTAGAACTTTCACATTCTCTGAGAGTCACCACAGCCTCGTTTAGATAGGATATAGGGTGAACGATCCCCTTGGGGTTGTGTAAAGTGACCTGTTAATGAAGATTTGCTATCATTGGCCATTTCCCCAATCCCACATTCCCTACCCCCCGAAAGAACCAGGAGATCCCACCAAAATAAACTATTATAAAAACAGAAGCTTCCTACTGGTAAGAGAGATGCAGGGCATCTGTCTCTACTGTTGTGCATATTTTGCCATATGTTTTGATGATATGGGGATCTAATATCACCTTCTTTTTCTCACCATCTCTCTGCCTACTTAGCCTATTGGTTCATAGCCTTTCCTTTGTCTCCTACTCTGCACCCTACACCACCACACTATACCATCATCTCCTGAAGGCAACTACTGTCTTATTTATCTTTATATCTGCATGTGTATAATAATATGTAAGTGAATCAATAAATCAAGAGCAAATGTATCCCAAAGCAATGGTTCTCAAATAATGAGGTTAAAATATCAAAACGTAGTACTTAATTGGATATAAGAAACCTTATCTGTCTTAAAAATATTGCTGTAAAATGCATTTCTTTTGGCAAATTCCCAAATTATAAGTTTCAGAATTAATTAGGAAAAGATCTACACCTAACTGCATTCATTTCTTTCTACCAGATGACACCTAGCTGGCTCCTGCGTACACTTAGCTCACTTTTCCACAATTTCTTTCTTGCTTTTTAAACCTAGCCTTTAAAAAGAAAAAAGAAAAAAAGAGATTTTATTGATTTATTTATTTGGAGAGAGAGAGCATGAACAAGGGGAGGGGCAGGGAAAGAGAATCCCAAGCAGACTCCATGCAGAGTGCAGAGCCCACCACAGGGCTCAGTCTCACAACCCTGAGATCCTGACCTGAGCCGAATTAAGAGTCAGATACTTAACCAACTGAGCCATGCAGGCACACCTAAACTCAGCCTTTAGACATTGCCCCCAAATGTACCACAATGGCATATTGATTATTCTGAAATAAAGCTACTTGGGAAATAGCCAGTGCAAGGACCCTTAGACTCTCCTCTATCCCTCTGAAGGCAAGAGACAAATCTCCTATATGAAAAATGCCCTCCCCATATTAAGAAGTAAAAGACATCCTTAACACCAGAGATAAGGGACTTTAAAGTCAAAAGAACTGTGGAAAATAAAACTTTGTTACTTTTTACTACCCTACTACCATCAGCCCACTTGGAATTCTTTACTAATTAAAGCTCCTGTTTTCTTTGTCCTGGAAATTCCTCCTGAATTTACTGTCTTTGTCTAAAATGTATAAAAACTGCCTGCCTTGGTCATTTCTTTGGGTCTCATTTTCATAACTGGACCTCCGTGCACAGGTAATAAAACTTTGGGCCTTTTATTCTTGTTAATCTGTTTTATGTGAATTGGGTTCTCAGTGCAGTTGGAATATCTGGAACGATAGAGGTAGAATTTTCCCCTCCAACAACATCTTCCAATTCCTCTAGTGCTCCGTGGTCCCATGGGCCTTTTGTGACTCCACGTGTGATGCTTACTCTTCCCAGAAATTGGACCTTTTCACATCGTTATCATTCAGGTCTCTACTCAGAGGTGATGTCCTCAGGGAGGCCATTTCTGACACTCAGGTTTGATTAAGTCTCTGATGCCCTTTTCCTGCAAGTAGGCTACAGGAGTCCCCCTGATTCGTGGTTTTTGCTTTCCCTGTTCAGTTACCCACAGTCAAACACAGGTCTGGAAGCACATGATCCTCCTTCTGACATATCATCAGGTCAATAGCAGTCTAACTCTAGGTCACAGTGCCTACGTGGTTCACCTCACTTCATCTCCTCACACAGGCATTTTATCAGCTCACATCCTTACAAGAAAAAGGGTGAGCGCAGTCCAATAATATATTTTGTTACTGTATTTAGTTATAATTGCTCTATTTTATTATTAATTATTATTAATCTCTTACTGCACCTAATTTATAAGTTAAACTTCATCCTAGGCATGTATATATAGGAAAAAAACAGTATACGTAGGGTTTGGTACTATCTGCAGTTACAGGCATCCCCTGGGGTGTCTTGAAATGTATCCCCCTGTAGATAAGGGAGGGGATACTATACTTACACATCCTGCATTGTCTAAAGTTATTTAACTACATAACCACACAGTGCTTTATGAAGAAGATATGTTTCCCAAAAAAAGTTGTCTAAAAATGGAATCCTATTTTCCAAGTGAAGAGCATTGTCATTTCAAGGATTACATTCTTTTTTCATTTTTATTGAACCTCAATTGGCAGTAGTTCTTCACACTTTATGTTTCTGTGCTCCAGAATCTTTTTCTCAATTCATTAATTATACATAAACCAAGCTTAAAAGTATTGGAGGAATATCTATTTAAATAAATATTTAAGTGACTCCTTTTATTTTAGTGAATGACATGTTATTTAACCTTTGTGTAATAATTCTTGCTAAACAGCCCACACATATCTGGGATGCAATGTGCCCTTTCACTGAGAATGTTCAATCAACATTTCCTTCTTACAATGATGACATTCAAATTCAGTTTTCCCTTTTTAATTTTCTTTTTCACTCTTACATTGCCAATATTGGAATTGCCACTAACAGATTTTTCAGGAGCGAGGATGAAATGATGTGTGAGAGGAAAAAAAAATGTATGTGATAGGGAAGTTTGACAAAGTGTTTTAACTAAGCAGAAGCTGAAATTAGAAGCTGGTTACATGAGACATAGCTAAGAAGACATGACATTAAATATGCAGTGACACGATGAAACCCTGTTCAAATAGTGGATCAGCACAAGTAAAGGTGTAGAGGTTATAGTTAAGCATTTTTGCCATGAAAAATAAAATTAAAATTAAAACATCAGAAACTTTCTTAGTTTGAACCAGAATAATACATTCACAGTTGGAAGAAGGGGCAGGTAAATGGGGACTTACACAGCCCCAGCATGAGCTCTGTGTGTGGGTAAAAAGCAAGATAAACCATGAGAGCAAACTTGCATTTTCATATCTATTTCTAAATCCAATGATCAACAGCATTTTACTACCTATATTAAAGAAGATTCGTTCATTCACCTCTAAACTCTACCATTTCCTTGGAGAAATAAAAAGTAGTCATGATACATCTTTGTAGCTACAAGCAAGAGGAGAATATGACTAAAGAATTTATTTCCATGATAGGTGATGAGGAAAATAGGTGTATTTCATTTGGGGGAGGAATAAACAACTCACCTCAAAATACAGGTAAGTGCAAAAGTCATTTTGGTAGACCATGTGGAATGAAGTTGGATGAAGAGAAGAACCCATTAAAAGGCAACCTCTAGCCTCCTACTGGGTACTGATTTATCATCAGTGCAAAGGGAGAAGTGCTATTTGGATTCCTAGCACTACTTACTGAGTCTCCC